CCTTTGTGTTCTCGCCTGGGGCAATCACAATCTTCTTCTTGCCCTCGATCTCGTTGCGGTCAAAGAGCCACGAAGTGGTGCTCTCGACGAGGTTGCAGTCATATGCCTTCACCACCTGCTCCAACAAGCCCGTGATCTTGGACTGCGAGGGCGCTTTTGCGGATGCGGCCTTTGCCTTCTCTTCCTCTGTGCCCGAGGCTAAGAGGCCGGGCGGCAGCATCAACCGCAGCAGCAGCTCATTTGCGTAGTGAGTAGCAAGAATCAGGTCGGCCTGTCGTCCCGAGACAACCTCCGGGGCCTCCCCGTCAGCGGGCGCCGCCAAAATGGTGTCGCACACAATGGAGCCGAAGCCATCGATCTGAGCGCCAAGCTGGATCTTGACGGCCTCCCCAACCTGCAGCTCCACAACCGACTCCTTCTCGTCGGACCTCAGGGGCGTGTAGGGGGTGACGAACGCACTGGGCGAGACAGTGGTAGGGTGAGAGAAGCCTATACATATATTATTAGCACCGGTGAGGTGGAGTAGCCATATGGGGCCCGGAACCCGGATCCTGAATCCGGGCTCCGGGGAGGGCGTGACTAATACGTACCCTTGGTGATCTTCTTGCCGCGGTAGACCTTGGCAATTTCCTCCTCGAGGAGCTTGTCTCCCTTCTCGCAGATGTCGATGACCTTTGCGCCGGCGACGCAGAGCTTAGAAACGTCGGCAAGCACCTTCTCCGAGATCTGGGCGGCCGTCTTGTACTTTGTGATGGTATCGGGGTTGTTGAGGGAATAGTCTAGTGGTAGCATTAGCATTCAGGGCGCGCAGAACAAGCATGCGAGGGCGAAATGGGACACGAGAGGGCCACAGGGAGCTAGCTATGGTCTCGCGAGCAGCGTCGAGCTCGATGTGCAAGGTGCGGGGTCCCATGGCAGAGGTCACGTCAGTTGCTCTGCTTACTGACCGATGTCTTTCTCTTCGGTAGCCATCTTGTGCTACGGGATCCCGGGAGCGGGATGCGGGATTCGAGACGGTGAAAGGGTGGTCAATGGACGACAACTGAAGGCTTGGGAGTCCGGAACGAGGGGTTGCGAAGGAGGGGAAAGGACGGGAATGTGGTTTCGTGCTGTTACTCGATTTTGTGATTCAAGGCGGGGGAGGGGGTTAGGTTCTTTCTGTGTGTGCTCACTCTCCACTCATACGTTGGTGCGGAACTGGTCATTATGGCCTAAGCGGGCAGGGGCATGATGGAGGGGGCCTTGGCTTTGGCCCTGAGCCTGAGGAGATGGAACGAGGCGGGAGCTCCCCATTCGATTCGAACTGCCCAGGTGCCCACAAGTCGCGCCAGAACAAGAAGGCGGGCCTTTGGCTTCTAGGTTGCTGCTACCTGGATCTGGGCCTGTATCTGTAGTAGTCGAGAAGTAGACGGGACCTTTGCAGGGGGGACCGTGTGTGGGGAGCCGGAGCCCGCACGTTTCTTGCCCGCTGTGCTCGGGCAGTTGTGATTGGCTAGTCGCGCCCAGCCGTTTCTTGGGTCTTTCGCATCTCTAGGTTTGTTCCACAGCGCAGCCAGCCTCAGTCGTAGGCTCGAGGAAGACAGCCACAAAGACCAACCGCAATCGCGATCACACCCGCGCCATTTCGCACCTACATCTGCACCCGCACCACACACGGACGACGACGAAGCGCATCCACTCGCCGTGTCCCCGTGGCCCCCGACACCGACACCGAAGCGGCGACCGAGGACCGCCCGCCATGGCCGCCTCGTTGCCGCCGTCCGTCGCTGGCGCTGGCGATGGCGATGGTTCCTCATTGACGACGACTCCCAACCCTGCTGCTCCATCGGCATCGCGCCCGCCATCGCTGCCATCAAAGGCTGCGAGCCCCATGGCTGCTTCTGCTTCTGCTTCTGCCTCTGCCCAACCCGCGGCCGTCCCAATTCGCGACAAGGAAGCGTTCAATAAGGTGCTCGTCGACCGCTTCGTGACGCGCGACTGGATACATTCGAGCGCCTTGAAAGACTCGGACTCGCAGCTGCGCACGACGACCAGGGACACCCTGACGCGTATCAATGCGTACAAGGCCATCGCCGAGCAGCACAGCACATACAACGGCAGGCTCTTCGGCGAAGGCTACATTGGCTACGGCAATGGCTATACCGATACTAGCGGCCCGACCAAGATCGTCTACCCGTCGCAAAAACCGCGCGCCGGCCGGAGGGCTGCGCCACAGCTCAAGTTCTCGCGCAAAGACATCAAGAAACAAGCCGAGCAGCACGAGGAGCTAGTCCCCGTGCGCATAGACGTCGACTGGGACAAGGTCAAGCTGCGCGACACCTTCACCTTCAACCTCCACGAGCGTCTCATGCCCGTCGACGTGTTCGCCGCCCACCTGGTCGAGGACATGGGTCTCAAGGGGCCTCTAGAAAAGCCCGTCTACGAGCAGGTAGTGCAGCAAATGCACGAGCAGCTCAACGACTTTTACCCCTTTGCCTACTCGGACGAGGAAGCCCTGGACCCCGAGCTCCCCTACTCGGCGTACAAGAACGACGAGATGCGCATCCTAATCAAGCTCAACATCACCATCGGCGCCCACACCCTCGTCGACCAGTTTGAGTGGGAGATCAACAATCCGATGAACTCTCCCGAGGAGTTCGCCGTCACCATGGCTCGCGACCTGTCGCTGTCGGGCGAGTTTGCGACGGCAATCGCCCACTGCATACGTGAACAAGCCCAACTCTTTACGCGCAGCCTCTACAGCATTGGTCATCCGTTCGATGGTCGTCCCATTGAAGACCCAGATCTCACCATTGCATTCCTTCCGTCGCCCCTGCCCGCTGTTTTCAGGCCCCAGCAACAGGCGAAGGACTACGCGCCATACCTATACGAGAACACCGAGGCAGAGCTTGAAAGGAGCGAGACCATGTTCTCGCGGGAGCAGAGGAGGCAGAAGCGCTCGGTTAACAGGCGCGGCGGCCCTCAGCTGCCAGACCTGAAGGAGAGGCAGAGGACGATTCGGACCTCAATCGTGTCATCGGTGCTCCCCGGTGCCGCAGCGGATATAGAGGAGAGCAGGCTGTTCAAGCGCGCCGTCGGGGTTGGCGGAATTGCCGGGAGAAGCAAGAGACCTGCTCGCGACGGCGACATCTCCGATTCCGAAGACAGCGAAGACTCGGCCCCAGACTCGCCCGCCATGTCGCAGCTCCAAGGAACCGCAAGGACTAGGGGAATAATGCGCGGGGCTGCCAGTGTCGCAGCACACCGCATGGCAAATCTTGGGCGGTCCGAGACCCCGGAGACTATCATTCACCACCACGAGACTAGGACGTCTCGCCGGGTCGGTCGCGAGGCCACCAGGGAAGAGACAGAGGAGCTGCAGCACGTAGTCACGCTCAAGGTCACGCCCGCAAGATTAAAGAAACTCTTACGAGATCTCAAGTTAAAACAGTCAGCCCAAGGTCCCCCGGGCTCTGCCACCCCAGCCGGTCAGAGCCACCAAAGAGCTGGGAGTGCATCCGCTGCCCCCGGCTCTATGGGGCCGCCTTCGACCCCCTCGGGAACTAACAAGAACCTGCCGATCAAGTCCACGATGCCATGGGCTGCTAGGCAGGCATACCTCGGCGGGGTTCCTGCACCGCCTCCTGGGCAGCCAGGGGAACCTCAACCACCACCGGTATTTCGTCCCCCCTCCATCTCTCGCGCTTTTATCCCGTCATATGTCCGTGAATTACTAACAACATACCTTTGTGGGGAACACAGCCTCCTATTCCCGAGTGGCTCAGCACAGCCTTGCAGAGGCTACAGAGGCTGTATCCGAACGACCAGTTCAAGGCTTTCATGCGCTACTGCGCTATGAACACAAAGACAGACACGGTAGCTGCGATGCCGCGTAGCCCTGACATGCCCCCAGACGTGGAGATATGGTGGGTACCCAGAATTAAGTGTCTTGATTGCCCCGGCAAGTCGTACACGCCCGGCCCGGAGCGGTCAACAGACAACTTCGAAGTCCACCTCAAAAACAGACTCCACCGGGCGCAGGTCGACAACCGCCTCGAGTCCGGCGGCAGGCTCCCGCCAGAGCAGCCGCGCGGCCTTTCGATCCCATCGGCAAGCTCGAGCACGGCCGCGAACGGCACCATCAACGCGAGCCCCGTGACTCCGGTAGCACCGCAATCGACCTCAGCAATCCCTCTGCCGCCACTACCACCACCAAAAAGCAGCACGTCATGACAGACATAATCGTGGGGAGTGTGGATGGCAAAAACATCGTCCCCCATTCTGGAGGGCTTGTGGGGCTCAGTTCTAAAAACGAAGAGAGACTTGTCGGCCTTGGAATGTATCTCGCTGTGGAAGACATTACCAGAAACTGAAGCTGGACAAGAGAAGATGCCCATATGACGAAAGGGAATTTGGGAGAAGGGAATACCTACTTCTTTTTCTTCAGAACGAAGTCGGGAGCCACGAGGGACGGAAGTCCCGAAGACGTCGGGCGATTAACTGTAAAACTGTACATAACAAGCAGGTTTTCTCTGTTCTGCTTCCTTTCTTGGCTCTTTTTTATTTATTTTTGTCCGCGAGGTTTAAAGGAGAGTGAAGGGGGTGGGGGTGTTTTGATTTTGTTTCGCTATTATTCTTATTATTTTTCTTTTCGAGGGAAAAAAAAACGAAAGAAAACCACCACAGCGTTTTTGTCTATGTACTTCTTCAGCACCTGGGTTATTTTAGTAGGCAAGGCAAAGGGTAGATAGATATATATTTTTATGCACGCTTGTCGAATCTCGAGCTGCCATTTTTGCTGTGAAACGTAGGTAGGTAGGTATATATAAGGAAAAGATTCCCGAGACGAAGATTGAGAGAGAGATCAGAGAGATCAGAGTTAATAACAAGAGTTAAAACAAAAAAAGAAACTCAACTCCCTCCCAATATACAACACATAAACAAGCAATGAAGGAGGAGGGAGGCGCGTACAAAAAAAAAAAAAAAGAAATCTCTACCGAGACAACAACAACTGATTCGATTGGACTGGCTGGGAATCGAACCCAGGACCTTTCGCAAGCGATTGCAGAAACCCGTCATCAGCACCCATGGAGATGGATGCCTCTGAAATTTGCTAAGCGAACGCTCTACCAACTGAGCCACAAGCCCTTTTGTCGTTGTTTTGATGTGTGGGTACGCGTGGATTTGCAATGATATTTATTGTGTGTGCGTGTTTGTGTGTTTGTGTGTTTGCGTGTGGTGGACTCGGATGAAAAATATAGTGGTGGAGATTCGGGATGGGATGGGGTTAATTGAATCTGTCTGCGAGTGAGCACGAACGGACAGACAGAGGCAATGTTGGAATAATTACAGGCGCTCGAGGATTTACAAAGTTAATATTTGGGAGGTTCTCGAAAACGAGACAGGGAATCCCCATCTTGGTGTTCAATAATAGCTGGAATTTACTTCAAGTTCTCGTGCAACTAAACTGCGTCTCGCGTCCAACGTCTCGATGGTGCAATGCACCATCCGGTCCAACTAAATACATAGTTCTCCCGAGATTCGTCCAAGCAAAACTAGCAAATTCGCTTGTTCATTTTCCTTCCTGGCTCCCCTACCTGGACGTGAAGAATAACAATTAACACTTCTCCTGCAAAGAGCCGCCAAAAAGAGAGTCCTACGGACCGCTTCTTCACTCCCACGAGATATGTACACATTGCCCTCCTTCCATTCTTCCTCCTCTCATCCCGAATATAGTGTCCAGCATCCGAGAAAACGCGAAAATAGAAAGGAAAGGAAGAATATAAACGAGAGCGGGTATAACATGATCATACAGCAGATGCACCCGTATCGATAGAGACAAGGAAGAAAATATAAAAGACACCCTACAGCCCTCCACTCTCCTCCTCAACTGGTCGCGTCATCAATCGTCGTCTTCGTCCATTTCATCTTCGTCTGCCTTTCTCCTGGCCCGTGTTGACCGGGCCGCAGGCTTCGCTGCCTTGGGCTTTGGAACCGCTTTCGGCTTAGGCTTGGCTTTGGTCCCGGCAGCACTCCTGCCTTTCCGTCCATTAGCCGCTCGAGCGGGAGGAGGCGATGCTTCCTTTTCCTTTTCCTCTTCTTCTCCTTCGCCCTCCTCCTCAGGCTCCGAGACTTCCTCCGGCTCCGATAGCTCGCTTTCTTCCTCTGCGTCTCGAGGGGGAGCCGCGGACGCTTCCTTATTACCGGTTTCCTCGGCCGGGGAGTCATCGCCGTCGTCATCTTCATCGTTGTCAGATCCGCTCTGGCTCATGTACTCCCACTCGGCAACGCCACCGAGCATCTCTTGGTCATCTTCGGAAGAATCGCGCTCGATATACGACCTATTGGCGTTTGAACGTCCACTACGACGGCGGTCGGCATCGTTCATTGCTGAGCTTGACGACGACTTCTTGGGCTTGGTCGTAGGCTTCTTCGCCTTCAAGGAAGCCCTTCTCGTCGCGCTCTTTGGCGCTTTGGGCTCTTTTGGCTGGGCTACCTTTGGCGACACCTTGGCTTTCTTGCTAGCTGGGTGTGCCTCGACGCGGTCATCAGCTGTCCTCCGCTTCTTTTGCACATGTTAGCTCTAGCTTCTCGCGAGATAAGATGGGATTAAAACCATACCTTTTTGCGCTCAATGGCCCGGAGGAGCTCATCAAGTTTATCATCCATGCCCTCGGGGATGTACTGCCGCTCAGCGATCTCCTGAGCCTCGTTGTGGGACTTGAGGGCTAGATAGAGACCAAGCGGCAGTCCAACCTTGCCAGGGTAGGCGCTGAAAACCCAGTTCTTCTTTTCCTGCCACTTACGAATTACGGACTGCGCCAAGTCGCTCAGGACCCGGTGCTTGTCGCTCTGCACGTCAAGAGCATCCTGCGTCTGCTTGACACGCTCAGCATACTTGTAGATCAAGCCCAGATTCGACTCCGTCGCCACCAGGCTGATATAAAACAACAGATATCGGGCGTGGTCGGCCAGATTATCAACCTCGGTGCTGTAGTCGGGGTGGTGGGCGAGCAGTGATAGCAATCGGGCCATGATCGCCTCGAGAACAGGTTGTTTCAGCGACTCAAAATGTCGCGCCCGTGACCGTATCCAAGTTTCCGTGCGTTGTTTGAATTCGGCGTTGGGCTCGAAGGCCATTAAAAATACAATGGTGTAGTATCTGGACCGCAGCTTGCCGTCCGCCAGATACTTTTGCAGTTTCTGGACGAAGCCATGACGGACCTCTGACACGGCGTCTTGGGTTGTAAAGGCAAGCGCGTCAAAGTCCTCGGGCGAGAGGAGGTCGTCAAAGTGCTTCTTGGTGCACAGCTTCAACAGGAGTTGTGCGGCAAGCAGTCTAAGCCGCGATCTGTGATGCTTTGGTGTCTGCTTCGCCTTGCAGATTTCTCCATCCTTCTGGACGAGCTTCATAAAAAGCTTCCAGACAGGCTTCGCCTTCTCTTTTGCCTCGGCAACGTCTTCCATGCTCCGCAGCCTATTCACCAAGATCTTCAAAGCGAGGCATTTGGCTTGACACTCTTCACCTAGATCAGCGTCGCCAACCCAGCTCGGATCGTGCTCGCTGGCCTCAGTCCGGACGTCCAAAAGGACATTTTGCACCGTCATGTTCAGAATACGGTCTTCGGCTTCCTCGGTTACCTTTGGAGCAAGCAGCTCCAGCTGGCTGACGGCGGCAAGCTTGTTGAGGAAATGAGCAGACCCATAACTCCAGTCCTTCATGGTCCTCTGGAGGAGATCAGTCGCGCTGAGCATGCTCTTCTCGTCCTTCTTGGACAAGAGGATATTGACGGCGTACTTGGCAGCCCGGGCAGGCTGGCCGTAGAGGGCATAGCTAATCATGGTCTGCGTAAAATCTCTCTCCACCGGTACGTCCTTGGGGTACTTGCGAGCGTAAGTAGAGCAGGCCTTCAGCGTCTCGGCAACAACCGGGTCGTTCTCCCGCGTCGAGGTGGGGGCTTGGTCAACTAGGTCCTTGCAGAGCTGGCCAATATGCGTCTTGAACAGGTCGGGATTGCGCTGAGATATCTCATTGAGAATCTCGTGTGCAACTGCCCCCAACCCGCCCGTGTCCGCCTTGCTATAGTCCATGATGGTGGAAAGATGGCTGCGATTGAACATGATACATCCCGACCGGTAGAGCAGAGGGAGGAGGGTGTCCATGACAGGGGGATCCTTGCTGGTCTGAATTCGCTTGATGAGCTCTCTGAGTGCTTTATGGACCGTCTTAAAATCATGTTCCTGCCCAATTACATATTTAACCAGATTGTAGTTCCGGCGGTCGTTAGCCTTGGCAAACTTCAAGAGGTCCTGCTTGCTTTTGACGTCCGGGAGGAACTGCGAGATATACTGCGTGATTTTGTTGAGGTTGCTGGTCTTCTTCTCTGCCTCCTCATCCATGACCCCCCCGTTGTACATGTCGCAGTGCTTAATGTAGGTTGAGAGAGCCTGGGCGAATTGCGGCTGCCTTGCTTGCATGGCAAAGAAAGCCTTCTTTGCGCCTGGCTCGAGAGAGCGGACGAGAAGGAGGATGCGCTCTGCCCGTATCGCGTCCTGGTCAAACGCCGTGACAGCGGACTGCGACTGTGAATTGCCGTTAGAATTCGTGCTTTTGGACCCCTTCTTGGGCGGTGGTGGATAGGCGAGAGGCACGAGGCATTCGTAGATGACGCGGTCCAATAGTACGTTGAGTTCGAGGTCGTTAGCATAAAACGCATTGAAAATGCGGCTGGGAACGCCGCCGAGCGCTGCCGTCACAGTCTCGTTGCCGGCAAGCAGCTCTCCGGTCCCGACGGCCCAAAGTTTGCCCAGCAGGGACATGGCTGCCACCCTTACGGCGGGTTTCCTGTCGCGACAGCGGTCGGCCAGCGTCGACAAGACCGACCCCTCCTTGCCGACGCCGCCGTTGGGCGCCAGCTTGCTGATGACGTCTTGAAACCTAAACGATTCAATGGCCCTGACGGCCGCTAGCCTGACCTTCTCGTCATTGTCCGAAAGCTTTTCACCGAGCCCCTGGACCAACGCCGTCTCGTCCTCGCGGCTGAGACCGATGCCGCCGGCTGAAGTGGAGACGATGTAGCCCACGGCCGAGGTCCACGCGGCACGTATTGCGGGAGCCTTGTCGTTTTTCCTGCTGATGAAGTTGTGGAAGGTGGTGCTGTGTGTCTGTGAGAAGGAGATTGCAGACATTGGTGTGGTGAGGATGTTCCCAGCTGGAGCGTCAGTCCTCTCCTCGTCGTCCACCTTCAAGGGCGGATAGGCGGCGGGATCTAGCGCCGGTGGCGGCGGAGGTCCCGCTGCCCCAATCCCCGAAATCATGTCGCCGAGCGTCTCCGTGGCAAGCTGCCGCAGGTGGACGTTGTCGGCAGACAGCTCGGCATCTATTTGGGGCACGACGTTTTGGAGGATCATGGGTGCAGCTTTCCAGACCTCGCGTATGAGGTTGTGCGCCTTCTTCAGCTCCCTCAGGTCGGACTCGGACGGCCCCGTAGGACCCTCGTCGCCGTCCGAATCCTCTCCGTCCTTGTTGCCATTGGGCCTTCCAGCGAAGCCTGTCGAGTCTACAATAACGTCGCTGAAATACTGGCTGACGAACCGAGCCATCTTCTCGGGGTACTGCTGGCACAAGCTCTTGGCCATCTGATACGCCTCGGGCTCCTCCTTCAGCAAGAGAGTTGCCTGGTTGTCGTCGATGGGTGCATGGTCGTGGCCACCTGGCGCAGCAGCCCGGAGGAACTGGGCCATGACGACATCAATGACCGAGGCGGGCAGAGTAACAGCCTCGTCAATGAGCGCACCGAGCAGCTCCTGCATGGTGAACTCGACATCCTTTGCGACCTGCTCGCCGGAAGTCGACTTGGTGCCGACGCCATCGAAGATTTTGGAGAAGAGATGCAGCATAAGGTTTTCATGGCCGTCGACCTCGAGGAGGAGGACGATGCTCTTGATCTCGGCCAGAGAACTAAGCAGGTACCTGTGCTGGTTGTTGTAAGAATTAGAAGGGTCGAAGAGGGCGGGTATCAGATTGGTCAGGCTGAGATTGAAGAAATCCTTGATCTGCGACATGGTAAAGGGGGCATTGGGGGCGCAGAGTCTGAGTATGTCGGCGACGCAGCAGGCGACGTAGGCCCTCACGCCTCTGTCCTTGT